GTATTTTCCGTATTTTGACTGGGCACAGACAATTGAAGATTTGAGCAAATAAAAAAATGTTTGCACAGAAATACTCCAAAAAATACGCTTATTTCGTTAAGTGAAAAAAAATTTTTGGGTTTAGGTGCACTTTGACATACAAACCATTAATCTCAAATTTAGGGCCACCTCTCAAATAAACTCAGTTCCATTTTGATAAGCACCGCTCCTATTGGCAGTAATTTACAATAGGCACCCCACCTCCAATGAGCTCCTCCTCTCCTTTTCTTCCATTTTTGCAGAAAAGTAATGAGACTTCAAAGGAGGTTTGCATCTGCCCATGTTTTCAAATAAGACATGTGATAAAAATTACTTGTGCCCACACATGATTGCCCCAGTATATTATTATATTAAGTTTAGAAATTAATAAAGAGTACCAGTTAAATTGCAAGTAGTAGTTAGGATCAGCTCTGTCTATTAACATACAACTTGCTGCTCTTTTGAAAACAACTGGAAACATTTTGATATAACCCCATACTATTTCTGAATACTAAGTCCCATTCCCACTGGTAATCTGTTCTTGCCACAGGTTTTTCTTTTCTTTCTTTCTTTTTTTGATAAAAAAACTACATGCATGATATAGTATGGGGATTATGTAGAGATCTTGTCAACAACCACAAATGTATCTCTTTTCCTATACTTTTGGGTAGAAAGCACTTTAACACTGCTAGTTTTTAGTATGCTGTTGGGATTCATCTAGTTTAATAATTGAGCTAAGACTAGGATTTGGAGGCTTAGTGTAGCAGAGTGTCACAATTCATGATGACAGGTGCATAGGTTTGACTCTTGTCAGCTGGTATTTCTGAGAACATTTTCCTGAGTGAAATATGTACTCAAAAGACATGTTAATATTAAATAGTACCATTTGTGATTCATCATTAACAAATCCCTCCTAATATCTTGGCTGGGCCTTTCAACAAGTTGGGTCTTTTCCTCTGTCAGGGACATGTCAAAGGTGAGAAATGTTTAACAGTCCACAAGACCTGGTTTTCCTGAACTGACCAGATTTTGATGCAACTTTGTTATATTTTCCTAAGCACCTTGCAGAGGACGTGGCTCAGACAAAGGACAAGTTTTATCAAAGTCAAAAGAATGTTGGACGAGGTGAGATGCAGCTGGTCTGAGTTTGCGTCAGTAAGGTCTATAATTTGAGAGACAAAAAGAACCACAAAGCAGAAATGGATAGAGGAAATATTTGGATTCTCTTCCAGAAAATATAAAACAAACTTACACTATTACTAGGAACTGTGACATCTTAGTTGCAAATGTAAATTGTTCTTGTGTTTGTGCTTGTGTTTTTTGTTTTGTTTTTGTTTACTTGTTTATTTTTATCTTAATGGATGCAGTTAATTCCCGTGGTATGAGAGTGTTGATAAAAACTCTCCTTTGGACGATCCACTCCAGCTGTATGTGCTTGATATAAGGTCGTTTTACCAAAAAGTGCGGAAAAAAAAAGAACACTGAAAAATATTTAAGGACCATCCAGTATGGATATCTTATTACTGAGCAGTGTTTCGTAGCCTTGATAAAGAAGTATAGTCAGAACTCACCTTTGCTTTGGAAAAAAATTTTTTTATTTGAATTGAGGCATCCAAACCTTGTTGCTGATCGTTCTTTCTCCTCAGCAGTGTCCAGCAGTATTTAATTGACTCGGAAGCGGGAATGATCTGAGTTTGGGTGAAGGTGGGGGCAGAGTTCTACGTCAATGGCTAACTTCCTTCCAAATCTTAGTGTTTTGTTAATTTTTTTTCCACGTCTCATTGATTATTAGCTAGGCACTTAATATCGTCATAAGATTAAACAAAAGTTGACGAAGCAATCTCCGATTGTTTTCGGTCGGGAAAGTGATTAGAATTACAAATCATTTTAAAACATAAATATTCATAGTGCAGATCGCTTGCTCGTGGAAAGACTTAAAGAGTTGTACTAATAAATGTCTGGGGCCAGGAAACCCATAATGTTTCAACCCAAATACTTTGGACATCGTCAGATCTGTCAAGGCCGGAGAGGTTTTCCTCGAGGTTGCCGAAGCGAGTGGTTTGAATTGAATTTGAGAACGAAGAGGGATGGATGAATGAATGTCATTTTGTCACGACTTTTCTCAAGGTGAATAACCTTTGTATATATTCATTTTGAATTTAAATGCAATGTTCGTGTTTCTAGTTTTTGCTCTCGTAAAACTAATTCTTAGAGTCAAATCTTAAAAGGAAAGGCGTCTAACACACAGTGCAGAAAAACGACAAATATTTAGTCGTAGCCGCCATGCCAGTTCTGGAGGAGCCACGTGACTGTTAGAACAGCAGTGAGAAATGCGTACTTAATGTTCTGATCGCTTAATGACTCGTGTATCCATAATTCTGTACTTTTTATTCTTATTCTGGATATGCAGAGTTAATAGAGGGAACTGGTTATGAAAGCCGGCGAACTTCAAACGATAAGAACAATTGGAGCCCTCTGAGGTTGAAGGGTTCCCTCTATAAACTCTGGTATACGGTTTCTTTGATATTGGCTTTTCTCCAAGACAGCGATATGGGATGAAAAAATCTTGAAATCAAGTACTGTAACGGATGAAAGAGGAAAGGATGACATCCATAAAGGTTAGCTCTTTAGTTAACTCGGTCAAGCTTGTAACAACTATCGCTGAATTTAGAGAATTTGAGCGATTTAAAGCTAACCAAAATTATAAATGATAGAAAGTGCAAAAACAAAAAAAGAAAAGAAATATATTTCTTTTGTCTCTGATTTTCTTGCTGTCTATCTGATTAATAGGCCAGGTTTTTTCTATTCGAGGGTGGTCAAAACAAGATTTCGGAAACCTGTAGTACGTCGTGTCGCCAAGCAACGGTTTCACGAAAAATGATTTATTGAATTGTTTATGAAAGTGTCATTCACATTTTCACGAGCAGTGTTTTATATTTATAAGGTGCGACCAGAAGCTCGATTCTTTGAGGTTTTTTGAAATTTTTTTTAAATGCGAATTATAAACAGCAGTTGTTTGTGGCTTGAATTTACATTGAAGCAGCAAGCGATAGGAAATATAATATTAAATAACAGTTGATACTCAATTTACACAAGTATTCTTTACATGTTTGTTATTTACATACCAGTATGATGATCTCAGAGAAATTATAATCACTAAAAGGGAAAGAGAAATTGCTTGCGAACATTTCGATTTATTTCTCAAGTTACTGTAGCGAACTTACTCCTTCAGTTGTTCAATACTTGAACGCAATTAGGAAAAAGCGAGAAAGTAAAATCAGAAAACATTCATCTGCTATCATTTTGAATCGGTAAATCGACGGTACGTTAACGTCTCGGCTTTGTAGAGCGGCTCAACACTGAAGGATTAAATACTGATTTACAATTATTTTACTTTCACAGCATGAAAAACAACATGTTGAAAATCTGGTCCATTTGTTAATGTATCCTTTCTTTTAATTTCTTGCAGACTGGTGCAAGAACCAAACAAAAAAAGGGTGTGATCCAAGTGAAATTCAGATGTAGCTCATTTTTCTCAAGAATACAGCGAGGTAGAGCCAAGTTATTCGTTAAAATCGACGACTTGAGGCTAGACGTAAGCGAATGTGATTTCGCGATTTT